GGCTGGTGGGACCCCAATAAGCCCCATTGCCTAGAGAAAAAGCACCCAATGGCATGTTGGGTCGTCGATGTGATGCACTCCAACTGGACATTTGATTGAGTCGGTGTGTTTTGCTCTGAGCTGATTATGTTGTGACTGAGAGGGGAGGACATCCCACCTTTACTTTCCCCCAGGTTCCTGCTGGAAGAAAGGTGGGCACAGGCTCCCAGACTCAGGTGGTAATTAAGGTCCAGTGAGGGCTGCAAACACAGTCTGATGACACACCACGCTGCACTTCCCAGTCTCCAGCCACGAGGGAGAATTTGTACGTGAATTTCAGTTTGTGTACTTGTGACATGTAATACAATGCACAATACACAGGTAGGTGGGTGAGCTTGCCTTTGCTCCATTTGGATACATGTATGTGTATCAGTGCATTTGTCAGCCAAGGCTATGATAATGCCTGAGAACAAACAGCAGCATCTCAATGGCCTGCAGGAACTAGTATTTGCTCTGGGTCTGGAGTCGGCTGGGGTTCAGCTGATCGTTGCTGGGTTTGGTCAAAGTACAAAGAGACGGGGCCAAATGACATAAGACACTGAAAACCTCACAGAAGGTCCACTCACATTCCATTGGCCCAAGAGGGTCATGTGGCCAGGTTCTACTTGGAGGGCGCTGAGAAGTCTATTTCCCCTATAGGAAGGGTCCTGTTGAGTTACATGGCAAAGTGCGTGGGTTTAGATTACAGGGGTGGGATGCTCATTTATATGAGGAGGGTGGAGAGCATTTGTCAGCAGCTTTATAACCCAATCATTGTCCTCACTTAGAGCAAGACTGGCTCATCTTCTAACCTCAGAGGGCCCCTGGAGCCACTAGCCCTACACTAGCTCCATCTCCTAACTGGGCTTGTGTGTGTGTGTGTGTGTGTGTGTGTGCACGTGCTCAGATGCTAAGTCATGTCCGACTCTTTTGTGACCCCATGGATTGTAGCCCACCAGGCTCCTCTGTCCATGGCGTTTTCCAGACAAGAATTTGGAGTGGGTTGTCATTTCCTCCTCCAGAGTACCTTCCTTGGATCGAATCCTTGTCTCCTGCATCTTCTGCAGTGGCAGGCAGATTCTTTACCACTGCATCACCCGGGAAGCCTTGGGAGGCGATAAGTTCTAATTTTTAGAGTTTTTGAAGGCAGGAGTGTTCTGGATGATCCCGGGTGTGGCAGAATCTCACAGCGTCAGTGTGCAACTCCTGGTAAACCCGAGCACTGCCAACAGGCTGAGGGTGATTTGTAGGGTGTCCCCTCCCCTCCCTGCCCTGCCCTCCACGGGCCCAATCCCTGCTCCTGGCTCAGCCCGTGCACATGTCCAGGAGGGTCTGGAAGCCAGAGAGTCCGCACTGTCCCAAAGGAATCCTTCTGGGAAGCCCGTCTTTGGGCCCAAAGCACCCGCTGGCGATGCCCCTTCCTCCCCAGGGTTTCTGCAGGCAGCTCCCCTGAACTGACACTAAGTGTTTCATTTCCTTTCTCCACAGTCCTGAGCCTTGCCCTAGGGAAGTGGCAGCATCACCTTTGCATTGGGGGCTTGGCCAAGAGTTTCTGGACTGGCACTTTTCTCTCCCGCTCTCCTGCTCTGCCGGCCCCCTGATGGACATTTCCTTGGCAGCTGGGAAGAGAGCTGGCGAGCGGGAGGGGTGGCACAGCCCCTGGTTTGCAGTGGGTGTCCCCCAGACAGGAGAGGAATCGGAGTCAAAACCCTCTCTCCCTGCAGACACACCAAGTCTTCCCTCTCTTTTCCTCCATGGTGGATACTTATTTCAGAGGGGCAACAGTGCCAGATAGGCCCTAAGTGTGGACCTCTCTCCTTGTCCGTGGGAGTCCCCGCCACCCTCCTGAAACGTCCCCCACTTTCCCTCCCCAGCCTGGGCCATGACGGTGATGGCAGCCAAGATGCCCATGTGAATGGCTGATGCTCTTGGTGGTGGTAGAGTCTAGCCTTGGTTCAAGGATAAGGTAGACTCCATAGGCGGAGAAGGCACTGGCACCCACTCCAGTACTCTTGCTGGAAAATCCCATGGACAGAGGAGCCTGGTAGGCTGCAGTTCATGAGGTCGCTAAGAGTTGGACACGACTGAGCGACTTCACTTTCACTTTTCACTTTCATGCGCTGGAGAAGGAAATGGCAACCCACTCCAGTGCTCTTGCCTGGAGAATCCCAGGGACGGGGGAGCCTGGTGGGCTGCCGT